TGCAAAAAAATAATTGAATAAGTTTTGCTTAAAACTTTACATCTGAGGATCAGCAGATAGGATAGTGGTTACATTGCTGGACTCCCACGTAGTTGACCATGGTTCAAGTCCCGGACTTGGTGGCTTGAAACTCATTCCTGGTGCATGGGTGTACATGCCTAAAATCTCAAGAGGAGAATGGAGGAGAAGGGATTGCAGTATGGCCATCCCCCTGGGGGGCTGATCTCTAGTTTTCTGTATCCATCTGTCTCTTCAACTAGTACACATACCCTATAGCAAAAATTTCTAAGACAAAACAAAATAAAACAAAAACTATATTTGCTGTCATACAATAGTAAATGAATTTAATGAATTTAATCTTTAATCTCATGTTTCTTTTTTATTTTGGAGAGATTTTTGCTATTGGGCACGTGGGCTCGCCAGAAAGACAGAGACAGAGAGACAGAAAACAAGAAATCACCCGCCCAGGGGGAGGGCCACGCTGCGATCCATTGTCATTCATCATTCTCCTTTCGAGATCTTAGGCACGCACGCACATGTGCCTGGTGTGAGTTTAAGCCACCGGGTCTGGGACTTAAACTGTGGTCAACTACATGGGAGTTCAGCGACATAGCCATTACGCTAACTGCTGGTCCCTTAATCTCATATATTTCTGAGAAAACCCAGGACCTCAAGACTATGGCAGAGTAGAAACTAAAAAAACTAGTGTTATCCATAATGTCAACTAAAAAAACTCTCTCCCAAAATAAACAAAAAACTAAAAAAAAGAAAAAAAAATCACTACCATCCAGCTTGACATTGAGGAAAACAAAAAAATATAAGGTCTTTTCTATGTCTTTTTTCTCCTCCAGTGGCAATATATTTATAATTTAGTAGAGAATGATATAATAAAATCCTTTCTGTAGAAGAGGCTGTTCTTGATGAGAATTCAGGATGCCCAGCTTGTTCTCTGGGGAACTGTGCTGCCCATTCAGTATCCGCGCATCTCATTCCCTCAGAATTATGGAAGAAAGATTTTCTAGTTTTGCTTTAGCTGTTGTAACACTACAAGTTCATGTAACTTTATTGTTATTGTTATTTTAAATTTGTCAGAGGACATGTGCACTCTTGAGAGAGAGAGAGACAGAGAGAGAGAAGAGAAAAGCAGAGAAGGAGAGTAAGAAAGAGCCTCCCGCAGGCAATGGTCACACCGTAATTCCTCTTCTATTTCTCCCTCTTTGGGGATTTTTGGCATGCATCCAGCATGTTTCTCATCTCTGGGTGTGGGACTTGAACCATGCAAGCTGGCCATGTGGAATCTAGCTCCCTAACCACCATGCCACTGCTGGACCTTTTATAACTTTTTAAACATGTGAGGATATTGTGGATGTAAACTAGAGATTGCATTGTTTGTTCATCCAACTGTTTTGAACAGTCAAGGTGCTCAGTAATGCCTAAGATATGCTTTCAGTTTTGATTAAACCAGTAGGTTTGTACGCAGTCAGCAGACATTTGCATTTCATTCTTCGATTTATTCACTCAATGTGCATTTACTGCATCTCTAGTCTTTGCTGAATACTATCCCAGATGTTGGGGACTCAACAAAAATTGACAGATAGTATTTATGCTCTCACTGAGCTCATTAACCGTGCTTTCAGCCAGTTGTCTCAGGTTGTGATAGGATACTGTGAAGAGAGCAAACAGGAGGGTGTGCTGCGGGGGGTGGGGGGGATGGGGGCGCTACCTAGAGCATTTAGTCTGAAGATTTTAGCTGAGACCCTAAGGGTGTTTAAATGATTCCGGCTTTCTCCAACCATGGAACATCTTCATTCGCCTTTTCAGCCCTTCTCCCTGCTCCTTCTCTCTGATCTTACTCATCAATCAAGATGCAACACACATGTTTTTTTCCCATCTGGAAGCCCTTTGGGTTCCGGTAGTTGGATTGCCTCTCCTCTTCCTCCCAGAGCAGTCATATTTTTGTTTGTTTGTTTTAAATCACAGTTTTTCTCTTCACAATATTACACTGTTATCATTCTGCATCACTGTCTGATTCCTGGTGGATTGTGAGCCATGGCTTGTGCCCTGAGGTGATATTCATTCCGTAGCTATGTTCATAACTTAAATTAATCAAAGCTAGATGGGCAGAGGCCCTACCATATGCCTGGCATATAGTAATTATGCCACAAATACATGTTGTAGACTTGTCTGTGTGCTTCAGGCTATGTGACTATCCCAGACTTTTCTTTGAGCTGGCCTCTAATTATTCTAACCCGATTAATAAATTGCCTCTAGTCTTGATCATATTTGTTTCAGATGAATTTCTCAAATTGTTCAATCATTCTTACTGTAAAACTATCGGCCCATGCCTCCTAATTTCAACAACCGCAACTGTATACTAACATACAAAGAAAAGGAAGGGATTCTTTTACTCATTCCTCCTTTCAAGCAAACATCATGAATTATGGCACTAAAATCAATCTGGCTTTCCTACCGGCTCTGTGGACATATTTACAACCATTAAGAAAATAAGAACCTTCTGGGTTAGATCTCTTCTGGGGTCATTTATAGTAAACAAAGCTCAAAGCACCAGAAAATATCCTATAATTCAGAGCATATCTCTAATAGCAACACTGGCACTTCAGTTATTTTTGTTACCAAACTCTGTTTTTCTCCTTTCCTACTCGCCTTGCTTTTCTTAGGTAGCATGTGTATTGGATATGAAATAATTCCACCCTGCTGTGGAATGAATGCTTCATACATAAACGTTCTCTAGGCAGGGCAGGCTCCTTACCTCCGTAATCAGGCCCTGTGCATAGAAAGCCAGATCCCATGACTGAACACAGTTCAAATCCTGGCTCTAGAGGCTTGAAAAACACACCAGGCAAGTGTGTGTGTGCCCCAAATCCTGATAGGATAGAGAAATGGAAGAAACAGAACTGTGGTCTGATCATGCCCCATGGCAAGTGATTTCTCTCTCTCTCTCTCTTTTTCTCTTTCTGGCAAGTGCTTATGCCCTCTGGCAATAAAAATATTAAAGAAATATCCATAGGCAGAGGACATAGTCAACAGAAATGTCTTAATCTTCTTTCCTTTGTAAATAATGTCTACAGTTTTGTTGGTTTCTTTGGTCTCCTACTGTCAGTGTGAAATCATAACATGTGATTATAGGCACCTGAAGAATGATGCACTATTATATTTTTAAAAAGAGCTTATGTGCATTGAGCATGACTATGAAGTTCTACTAAGAATTCACATATACATATCAGATTATAATCACCTCTTGCAAACAAAAGGATCTCATATTTCGTTGCAAATATAACATGAATTATACCTAGGGCTATTATCACAGGGAAGTTTAACCCTGTATTTGTGTATCCTACCCCAAACAGTCTGTGTCTGCAGCCCCTTGAGCAGAGAGTCCTTCTGTGCCTACTCATGAAGGCCCCTATTATAAGAAGTCTCTTCTTTTCTCAGCTGGGTCTGACTTGAAGACAAGGTTCCCATTTGGATAGAGCCATGCCGTAGTTAGCACCATGAAGACCCTAAAGATACCTGTAGATACCTGTCAGTAGGCTTTGGTCATGTTTCGTTCTTTTATTTATTTATTTATTTTAAAATTTTTATGTAATATTTATTTATTTATTTATTTATTTATTTTCATTTGACCAGAGAGGGACAGAGAGAGAGAGAGAGAGAGAGAGAGAGAGAGAGAGAGAGAGAGAGAGAGAGAGAGAGAGAGAGAGAGAGAGAGAGAGAGAGAGAGAGAGAGAGAGAGAGAGAGAGAGAGAGAGAGAGAGAGAGCCGCCAGGTCCAGGGCTTGAACTGGGAGTCTAGTGCCCTTAACTACCATGCCACCTGCCAACCCCATTATTCATTTTAATAGGTATTTTTATTTAGCAATTTCTAGTTCATTAGTTTGGATTTCATCTTTCAGATCAATTTAAGCATGTCATTGTTGATGTGCCTGTACATTTTGATTATTTTGTCTCCAGAGTAGGACATCCTGTGAGACCTTAGGCAGTAACTTAACCTCTAGGGCTTTGATTCCTTTTCTGAAAATTGAGGACTATTGGCATATATAATCTCGTTAGTCTACTCCAGAGCTAAGATTTTATGAATAAAACTAAACAGATAAGTAAGACAGTTTCATCTTTTTCTTCTCTTCCCTTTTCTCTAATTAACCCTGAAAATTTGTAGGAGAATAAAAAAGGATAGTAATTTCCTCCTATTTGACTCTTAAGTCATTTCTGGGCTTAGGTAGGGTTTGACAATTCACCTGCACAAAGGAGACCGGTCGTTTCCCTTAGCCAGGCTACAAGCCCATTTCTCAAGATATCAGCCTGTGCTTTCTTCTCATTAAGGCACAAAGAGCAATTTCCTGGGTGCTTTCTTCTAGCTGGTCTACGCCTGAACATTGCACTGTACATAGCCCATGATAGCCAGGGTGATTTTCCAAAAAGCATATGTATATTTCTTTTTCCTGTCATTTTCACATCTCCCATGCTTCTCACTTTGCTCCGGATTAATTGACGTTGCCCATGCTTTATTCTCCTTTCAGGTCCTGGAAAGTATTAATCTCTTGCGTGTTTCAGGGAATGCTTTTCTCTCTGCCTGAGTTTCTTTCTTGTGTTTCTGCCTCAGTTGCCTCTTTCCTCTCCTCTCTTCCTCATCTTGCTGGTTCCTCAGTTTTTTGGATCAAATTAAATCCCATTTCTCAAAGGAGCCCTTCTTGACCTCTCACTTAAAAGTAGTTTGTTCCTATAAATTCCTATTATAGAGCCTTGTACATTGCAAGCATAGCTTTAATTGTCATTTGCAAACTTTTAATTGTTTGTTTGCTTATTATTGTTTGCTTTCCCCATAAAACTGTAAGTTCTGCGAGGACAGTGACCATGTGTTACTTATTTGCCAGTACATAGCCAGTGCCCAGCACAAATACCTGCTTCAAAATGTTGAATGGCTGGAAGACTGTTACGAATGCCTCTTTCACAATATTAATTGTGCTTACTGTTGATTCTTAGATTTCCTGTACTTCATCAGCTAGAGAGACGGAACCCATGACCAAGATAAAAAAAACATTTTATAGAGTAAGTAGGCTAAGTCTTTGTTTATGAATACTTTATTTTTAATAATATTGAACATTTCTGCTATTATATTATACTTTATCTGCAGATTGGGAACAAAGGAGTCTACAAAGCTGTCAGTGAATTGGATATTCTTCTTTCCTGGATTAAGAGCTTCTTGGAAAGCATTTAGTAAATCATGAAGCCAAGAGCATCAATCTTATAATTATTTTGAAATCCAATGAGAACCACTGGAAATAAATTTATGGTACTGTATTTCTTTTTGAAAATTGTATACTTAACACTGATAATAAGTTATGGGATTTAGAATAGACTAGAAAGATTTAATATAGTAGATTTTAATGTAGTAGTTGTGGAGATTAAGTACATTGTCACTAATGTGTACATTTTCTGTGCTTTCAAAGAATATTTTTCATCTTGATCATGTTTTATTGTTCACAAATGCATTGTATAAATTTAATTTAAAGTATAAACTGAATGACTTATGTAGAATACTTGTGGAGGAAAAACAATGGATTTCTGGGATACAATATAATGTTATTGAGACTTAAATAGATGCTATGTATATGAATATCATCTGCTTAAGAGTTTGATGATTATAAATTATTCCCAGTGTAAAATTAACTCTGAGAAGATGTTAATTTTAAATAAACTTTGTTGCTTTTTCCTGGTTATCCTTTTCATGACAGCATGTTGGAATTTCATTGGGTGCAAGGGATAACAACCAGATTGGAACAAACAGGGCACACGGTCAGCTCACTGCTTGGAATGACTTACCAGGAACATCTTTGACAGATAACCCAAGCCACAGAGACCAAAAGAAGCCAAGTCAAAATGATGTTAAAACTTGATAATGCTCATTTTAGGCTCCATACAATTAGGAAAGTTGGTAGAGGCCAAATCAAAGTCTAAATATGGCTCAGATTCCATCACAGTCAACTTTTTTATAATGTCTAAAAACCTCATTTGCACAGACAGTCCTTCAGTGAATAAATAATATAGCTTGACCATTGTTTTGTGCTAATGGGATCCTGCTATACTGCTATTGGCTTATAGCATAAAAGACATGAGCAGTTTCTGACAGCACGTCCTGGGCAATCGGCCAACTTGCTTCCACAAGGCATTAAGTAGGCCCCTGCTACACACAGACAGCATCATGATTTGGTGTCCTGTGGTACAACTAGGAAGCTTCGCCAAGGCCTTCATGGATTGTGTTCCTGGAAATCCTTCTCTTCATTTTTTTTTTTTTAGAGAGGTTTTTCGCTATAGGGCATGTGCGCTCGCCAGACAGACAGAGAGAGACATAGAGACAGAAAGCGAGAAATCACCCCCCAGGGGGGATGGTCACGCCGCAATCCCTTCTCCTCCATTCTCCTCTCGGGATCTTGGGCACGCACGCACATGCGCCCGGAGTGAGTTTTAAGCCACTGGGTCTGGGACGCGAACCACGGTCAACTACGTGGGAGTCCAGTGACATAGTCATTATGCTAACTGCTGGTTCCCATCCTTCTCTTCATTGTTTTCTCAGAATCTAGCTCTTCTTTTCAATCACATGCTCTTTGGGTAATTTCTGTCACCTTGATTGGGTTCCTACTCCGAAATACAATTTTTCTGCCTTCTTTATTCATCTCTCTATCAGGGTCCTCATTCCTTGGCAAGACTAAAGGGCAGGAAAGGTGTGATGGGCAGTGCGGGGGTGGCAAGGGGAGAGTGAATGACTCTTTATCTCACACTTAGGATTTCTTAGGCATGTTCCCAGGCTATATATAGCAGAGCAGCCTTCCTTCTTGAAGAACAGTTGGAGGAGCTGGGATCTGGGGGATCAGGGACCTACTCCTTGGCTTTGCTATGAACCAAAAAGAAGACGGTGCACCCACAGCCTCTCCTTGCTCCACTTTTAGGACCCTTGATAGTCCCACAGCTGAGGTTAACTGTGCTTCACTTCCATAGAGCCCAGAGCTGTCAGTCTCTGTTACTCACTATTTCTAAGTTGCCCCATTGCTTTGAACCTCTAGACATCCGAGGGCCTGGGAAATACTCACTTGCCAGACAGTAAAGAAGGATTTATTACATGGAGTTGAGGTTCTTAGGGATAATATTTCACCTGCCTCCATAATATTTTCAGGTGATTAAATTCAATGTTTTGGTTTCCCTAATTCTTTCGTTTTCTCAGAACAGTCAACTGTGGCTAAACTCAGTCAAGAGTGGCATAGGAATTTAAGAGTCATCACCAAGTGAAAAAAAAAAAAAGCAAACCAATATACAGGTACTGGTGCTATTCACAAACAAGCCTCTTTCATATTAAAAAAAAATACAAATTTGATGTGTTTCAGTAAAGACTGGTTTATTGAAAAGGCAGCTACGAAAAGAGAAGCTGGTGTCCTTGTCTATAGTGAGGAGTCTGTCTTGGCAGTGTCACTGTGCGTTCAGGGGTGGGGACCTCTAATTCACAGGTCCCCCTATTGAGAACTTCATCAGGGCCAGAAATGATTACTCTTTGGGAAATGGCTACATTCACTGAATGCCCATAAAACACTGTATAAATCCTAAATCCAATTAGCCTTTATAGAAGGAGGTCCCTTCTGGGAGATCCTTCTTGGACCATACCAAGGAGACTAACTGTCTTATTCAAATGTTTTGCCTGTCAGCATGTATGAGAGCTAACTGAACAAACCCTAGGGTTGGGTAAAGCAGAAGGAACCCAAGTACTAAGGAGTAGCAGAAATGAGTAAGAGTGTTGGAAAGAATCCTCAGTGAGGCTAAGAAGCTTCTTTCATGTCTCTGATCATTATCATCAACGGGTCACCCAAAGAAACATATGCTTCCCACTCCCAAGCTAACTGCTTGTTCCCGTTTCACTTTACACCGCTCCTTCTCCCTCTGGTATGCTTGTCTGTTTGCTGACTGTCTCTTATCATATCAGAACAGTGGCTGTGCAGGGCTTTTATCTGCTTGCTGTTTGTAGAGCTCTCGGCACCTAGAACAGAATAGAGGATGTCATGTAAGTATGTGATGAGTGTGTGAATCCTGGAGGCTGCTCTTAGAATGTATGTTTGGTGTCAGGTCATGGAGCCTCCTAGGCCTCTGTTTCTGGATTGGTTCTTGTTCAGTGAGTTACCGAGCGTGCTCTATACAGGCATCCGCACAAGGAGGGATTAAAGTGTACTTTTTTTTTTAATCTGTACTCCAGCTTCCCTGCGTATTTCAGGTTTTTTTTTTTGGCCTCCAATACCATCCCAAGCTCTGTTTTGCCGGGTCAATTTCTCCTGATGCTTTAAGATTGCATTCAGACATCAACCTGATGCTGATGGTTTTGCAATGCTCATGTCTTCATAGGACCTTTTGGAATCATAATGATATAATTATAGAATTGTAATTATAATTTACTGGATGTAGATCTTTTTTCCCTAGTGACAAATTTTATTCTTTAATTTAAAACTGATTTATTTATTTAATGTGTATTTATTTATTATTTATGTTTAATCACTGTACATCTGTACAGTGTACAACAGGGCTTTTCCAGCATGGACACAGACATTACCATATACATTATCATCAGCAAACACCTTTCCTTTTTTGGTCAATTTAATGTCTTTTTTTTTTTTTCCCTGTTCCCCTCCCTTCCTTCCCCTAGTATCCACTTTCTAGTCCCCCCTCCCTGTACTGTCTCTTGTATCTACAGTTGCCATCCCTGCTATTATACCTTTAAGTCGTTCACTTTCTGCTATAGAGTGCAGACAATTGGTATATACTAAAGGGGACATACAAAGTCTGTCTTTCATAGTCTGGCTTGCTACACTTAGCATTAAGTCTTCCATATTCATCCACTTTCTATCAAATGTCAGGGGTTTTTTTTAATTTTTTTTTTTTTATAGCTGAGTAGTATTCCATGTAGTACCTATGCCCCATTTTTTCTATCCACTCATCTATCTGTGTACATTTGGGTTGATTCCATGTCCTGGCAATTGTAAATAATGCTGCTATAAACATGATGTGTGAGTGTTTTTTCTACTGAGGGTTTTCCTATCCTCTGGATAGATCATTCTTGATATCCCTTATCATAAGGGAAATGAAAATAAAAATCACAATGAGATGCCGTTTAGCCCCAATCCAAATGGCTAGGATAAAAACATAAAGAATGATAAGTGCTGGTGAGGCTGTGGTGAAAAGAGAGCTCTCCTACACTGTTGGTGGGAATGTAAATCAGTACGACCACTGTGGAAAACAATGTGGAGAGTCCTCAAAGACCTGCAAATAGAACTGCCATATGATCCAGTAATCCCACTCTGAGTGTAGATTTAACAGACGACATATTTCATGACTGTCTCTCACTGAACAGTCATTCTGATTCACTGAAGTTCTGCCTTGAACCTTGTACACGGTAGGCGCACAGTGAATATTTGTGAATGAACTTCAGCTCTGGCAGTCAGGGTGGATGCGGTTTCTTCTAGCGCCAGCTTTCTCTGCTGCCATAATTTCATGGTGGGCATGAACCTTGAGAATGGAATATAATAGTGCGTCCCAGCTAAATCCTCTAAGAACGCCTACACTATTGGGCTGTTGGAAAAGGCATGACGTACTTTTCTGTTTTTCCATGCAAAAATGCGTCATGACTTTTCTGAGGATCCAATATTTGCATAACAATGAATTCAAAGTAACACATCTTCTTGCACTAAATAAAAGCTAAATGAATATGTGGTTCTAAAAATAGATGATTTAAACTTAACCAAATGCAATTTCGACTAAAACACGTTCATATGCGAACCACATGGAATCATTTTGCAAATCTCCTAGGGTAGAATGCGTTTCACACATTGGGAAACACTGCATTATAATGATTTTCCACTGCCTCATTCTGGTTCAAATTAGAAATACAAAAAAATTAGAAGCAGTTCAGTTTAACCTACCCACAGATACCCATTCAGAAAAACTCAAGCCACGAGGTTTGGTTTTCAAACTGGTTTCAGAGGCCCTGTCATTTTTTCCGGAGATGGAGGGACTCAAATGCACACACTCTGTCAGTCATTCCATGGTTCTGAGGAGTCTCACAGAAGGTGCTGGGATGGTCGCTCGGCCCTCCTCCTTCTTCCTCAGCCCTCGCCAGGCAGCCAGCTTGGATGTAGCTGCCAAATGAAAGGAGTTCTCAATTCACTGCCTTTCTGCTAGTGAGGCTGCTGGATTTCTCAGTGGTACACAGAGGGCTGGGAACAAAAAGTGAAAGCACAGTCAGGCTGAGTGTGAGGAGAGACAGAAAATCTCAGACACAGCTGTTGGACTGCTGTGAGTATAGCCTAAGAATTCCTAAGAATGGGTGCTCTTCCTTACAGCTGTTATTCACTGAAATAAAAACCAACCAATTCTATAAACATTTATTGAATATCTACAATGTGCTGGTCTTGGAGAAGGTAATAATGTTGAAACTCACAGTTTCTTTGTAGTAATTTTAGAACTAAGGAAGAAAGCCAGGAGGACTGTTCAATAGTGTAATTCAAGCAGTCATGGACATACGGACAA